CCTTCTCGGTGGGCAGGCCAGGAACGCAGGCTCCCCGGGCTGCTCCGACGCTGGTCACGGCACATGTTCCACCCGGAGATTAATCGACGCCGAAAGCAAAGCGATTCCACGGGGAAGGCTTCATGCGGCTCCCCATTGATACTCAACGGCAGCACTTCCTTTGGCCTCGGGGGGCCTTATGATCTGACCTCATAGAAATAGCAGGGCCTGTTCCTGGGCCTCCAACGCTGCTCTTGGCAAGGCCTGGGCTCCCATCTGCCTGGGGCCTGGCTCTGGCTGTGCCCAGCCCGGCAGGGGGGAGCCGCTAACCCTCGACTGAGTGGCGCGGCGTGCGGGCGGTGGGGGCAGCCTCGCGGGGAATGCACTGGCTGGGCCGGCAGCAGGGGCTCCGTTAACCCAGCGATGGGGGCGAGTGCAGGGAGAAAACCTCGGTGGGTTCCCAGCAGAGCGAGCTCCCGTCTCCACGCTGGCTCAGCTGCAGAAAGGTTCCACGTAGTTGCCTGGGAAGAAGCCCTCTGCCTCCGTGGTCACCCCCTCGCACCAGCCGTCCGAGTACTTGCGGGTGACGTAGATGACGGCCCCTTCGGGGAAGGCCAGCTCGGTGGCCTTCTGCGCCACGTAGGGGTAGAGCGTCACCACTGGAAGGGGGAGGAGCAGCTCAGACTGGGGCCAGGATCACTGGCGGGGGAGGGGAGAGAGGGGGTCTGAACCTGCCCCCAGTGGGAGGGGCTGGCCGATCTGCGTCCAAAGGGGCCACGGGATGGAGGCGGGGGGGAGGATGGGTTTGGATCAGGCCCCTTCTGTGCCGAGGCAGATGCAGGAGGGAAGCCGGGGAGGCTCCGTCCCGCAGGGGCAGAGACAGGCTCAAAAATGAAAAATAATAGGGGTGCAGGAGGGGGTCAGGGCAGCGAGGGAGCTCTGGGGAGAGGACTGGGGTGCAGGAGGGGGTGTGGGGCATAGGAAGGAGGGGTTCTGACCTGGAGCAGGGGTGCAGGAGGGGGTCAGGGCAGCGAGGGAGCTCTGGGGAGAGGACTGGGGTGCAGGAGGGGGTGTGGGGCATAGGAAGGAGGGGTTCTGACCTGGAGCAGGGGTGCAGGAGGGGGTCAGGGCAGCGAGGGAGCTCTGGGGAGAGGACTGGGGTGCAGGAGGGGGTGTGGGGCATAGGAAGGAGGGGTTCTGACCTGGAGCAGGGGTGCAGGAGGGGGTCAGGGCAGCGAGGGAGCTCTGGGGAGAGGACTGGGGTGCAGGAGGGGGTGTGGGGCATAGGAAGGAGGGGTTCTGACCTGGAGCAGGGGTGCAGGAGGGGGTCAGGGCAGCGAGGGAGCTCTGGGGAGAGGACTGGGGTGCAGGAGGGGGTGTGGGGCATAGGAAGGAGGGGTTCTGACCTGGAGCAGGGGTGCAGGAGGGGGTCAGGGCAGCGAGGGAGCTCTGGGGAGAGGACTGGGGTGCAGGAGGGGGTGTGGGGCATAGGAAGGAGGGGTTCTGACCTGGAGCAGGGGTGCAGGAGGGGGTCAGGGCAGCGAGGGAGCTCTGGGGAGAGGACTGGGGTGCAGGAGGGGGTGTGGGGCATAGGAAGGAGGGGTTCTGACCTGGAGCAGGGGTGCAGGAGGGGGTCAGGGCAGCGAGGGAGCTCTGGGGAGAGGACTGGGGTGCAGGAGGGGGTGTGGGGCATAGGAAGGAGGGGTTCTGACCTGGAGCAGGGGTGCAGGAGGGGGTCAGGGCAGCGAGGGAGCTCTGGGGAGAGGACTGGGGTGCAGGAGGGGGTGTGGGGCATAGGAAGGAGGGGTTCTGACCTGGAGCAGGGGTGCAGGAGGGGGTCAGGGCAGCGAGGGAGCTCTGGGGAGAGGACTGGGGTGCAGGAGGGGGTGTGGGGCATAGGAAGGAGGGGTTCTGACCTGGAGCAGGGGTGCAGGAGGGGGTCAGGGCAGCGAGGGAGCTCTGGGGAGAGGACTGGGGTGCAGGAGGGGGTGTGGGGCATAGGAAGGAGGGGTTCTGACCTGGAGCAGGGGTGCAGGAGGGGGTCAGGGCAGCGAGGGAGCTCTGGGGAGAGGACTGGGGTGCAGGAGGGGGTGTGGGGCATAGGAAGGAGGGGTTCTGACCTGGAGCAGGGGTGCAGGAGGGGGTCAGGGCAGCGAGGGAGCTCTGGGGAGAGGACTGGGGTGCAGGAGGGGGTGTGGGGCATAGGAAGGAGGGGTTCTGACCTGGAGCAGGGGTGCAGGAGGGGGTCAGGGCAGCGAGGGAGCTCTGGGGAGAGGACTGGGGTGCAGGAGGGGGTGTGGGGCATAGGAAGGAGGGGTTCTGACCTGGAGCAGGGGTGCAGGAGGGGGTCAGGGCAGCGAGGGAGCTCTGGGTACAGGAGAAGGTTGATCCTGGGGCAGGGATTGAGATGCAGGAAGGGGTACAGGTCTGGGAGGGGGTTTGGGTGCCAGAGCGGGTTGTGACCTAGGGCAGGGGGTTGGGGTGCAGGGCTGGGGAGGGGGACCGGGGGCATTGCAGGCAGCGATAAAAAGAGGTGGGGAAGGGGAAACGTTCTGTTCTGACAAATCGACTTTTTTCAGAAACCTCGGGGGGAGGGGGGTGTAATTGACAAAATGGCTTTTGAGCAAAATGGAAACAACTTCTCCATTTCCCCCTCCCCCCCAATTGCTTTGTAGCCTCTTTGGGCTTGTGACGGCCTGTTGCCACACGTGGCCACTGATGGCGCCAGGTTCCCAGCACAGAGGCCACGCGGGCGCCAACCCCGAGCCCTACCTGGCACGGGGAATGGTGGAGGCCCAC